GAAATCCTTCTGTCAGTGGGAATCGCTAAAACAGAGCTAAATGCCGCCAAACACGTGGCAATGGTGCCTCCCTTCAGACCCCTTGGACGTTCGGAGATAAAGTAAGAAATCTGCTATGAACTGAGGAGACACAGTCAGCGGATCCTGCTTCTTGGTAACACAAAAACGTTCAAACGACTGCCACTTGTCGTCATACAAATGTCTAGTAGAAGTTCTGTGCGCCGTCGCAATGGCTTTGGCTGCTCTAGCCGAAAAACCCTTAGCACTCAGTGCTTTCTGCAAATGGTCCATGCGTGCAGATTGAATCGGTCTGGAGACGGATGCGGAAGACGGCTGTGAGAGTGCACGAGAACGTTCCTCCACGTGGGTAGAGGGAAGGGATCTCCTACCACTAGACTTTGTAGAACGGGAAACCAGTTCCTGGCTGGCCACCAAGGCGCGACCAAAATTAGTCGTAAGCAAGTTGTCTCCTTGACTTTTGCGAGAACTTTGGGTAATAGAACTGGTGGCGGGAACGCATACGCGTGAAGTCCCTCCCATGAGGAACCGCTGGATCTGGGACTGGGGACACATACACTGGCAGTTGATGGTTTTGGCTGGTGACAAACAGATCTATGTTTGGAGAACCCAGTGCGTGACTTAAGAGAGTGAAGGCCTCCTTGTGTAGCATCCACTCCGTGGGAGCAACTCTGTCGGGTCTCGAGAGAGAGCATCTGCTAGTATATTGCGGCACCCCGGAATATGCCGAACTCTCAACAGCCACTAGAAGACAAGTTCCTCGTAGTCGATGTGCCCAATGATGAATAGCGAGGATCACGGCCTCCAACTCCAGACTGTTTATATGCCAGTTGATGTGTTGACCCGACCACAGGCCGGAGGCTGTCTGGTCGTGTAAGTCCACGAACAGTTGGCAATCCGGAGGCTGCTCTGTCAAAGAGACTCCTCCTAAGACGTTCAATGGGCGAGTCCACCAAATAAGATAGCGATGTAACTGAGGTGGAAGGCAAAACCCTTGATGAACGTCTGCCCGACGAATGTATGGTTGAAGAAAACGCTGCAGAGGACGAAGTTGAAGACGCCCTCTGCTGGCAAGATCCTGCGCCGACGTCAACAATCCCAGAAGTGACTGCCACTCTCTGAGGGACAGAGGTTGGGAGAGCGCACGTGGAATCAGAGACTGAATCTTGTCCCACCTGTCCAGGGGAATCTGAACTAGGTTCTTGTCCGTCTGGAAATGGCCTCCGATGAACGTCAGAGTGTGAGTCGGGACAAGCTCCGATTTGTCCAAGTTGACCAGCCACCCTAGTTGGCGCAACAGACGAAGGGTGAAATCCCGTTGTTGTATAAGAAGTAGACGGTCTAACAGGTGCATAAGGCAATCGTCCAGGTACGGGTTGAAATTGATGCCCCTCAAATGCAGATACCGGGAATAGGAGTTGTGATACGTGTGAACAACCACGGGGCCGTTGAAATTCCAAATGGGAGGACAGCCCATTGGAAATGTTGATTGTTGAAAATAAAGCGCAGGTACTTCCTGTCGCTGGGGCTTATGGAACATGGAGGTATGCATCCTGTAGGTCCAGGCTGATGAGGAAGTCGTTGGCGATACCATAGATTTGAGGTATTCGAGGGGCGTCATTGGAAGCGGAGGACGTTCCAGGAAAGTCTCGTTGAAATAGGACAGATTGTGAATCATCCTCATTTTCGCGGACCCTTTCTTCGGCACTAAGAATATTGGAGAATAAAACCCTGGTGTTATGATGGGATCACGGGAGGAGTTCGATGGCTCTTTTCTCCAACAAAATCGCTATGTTCTCCGCTAGAAGGTTGTGTTGAACCTGAGAGTGATTGTGCCGGAGCGGGAACATTGTCAGAGGTGGATCGAGGAGAGGGGAGCCGAAACCCCTGCCTCAATATATCGGTGACGTATGGATCCTCTAGGATGGACCAATTTTCCCAAAAGATCCCTATTCTCCCACCTACGGTGTAGGATAAACTGGGACGACTGGAGGTGGGAGTGTCCAGTCGTGCGTGTCCCTCACTTCACTTGCCCCTCGCCCGTCGCCTGGAAGGACCGCAGCGACGCTGATATCCACCCCTGTCTGATCTAGGCTTGGCACCACGTCCCCTGCCACGAGACGGCGGCTGAGTTTCTGGCACGCCGAACAGACGGTCGCCCGAGGCTGGTAGGTGTTGGATGACATGGAGGCAGGGCGTTGTCCCTTTTAAAACGCTTTCAAGGCAGTCTCCCCTTTGGCAAAATCACACACCTGCCGATAAACATCATGAATGGCATCGTTAAACAGTGAGCACGATGACCAGGGTTGGTAAAATAATTTCCGCTGAAATTCGAGATCCCTTGAAGAAAAGGAGAGGAAGCCTTGCCGACGAATTGCACGCAGCGTTGGCAAAGCGCCGACCCTAAGGTGTTCACGCAGGTCAGTGATCACTTTACCCTGCCATAGCATCATAGTTGTGAGATGATCCAGTCGATCCGGATTTATTTCCTTAAGATCCTGAGTGATGGCATCAGTCGCTGACGCCAATGCCGATATAGGGCGGAGCATACGCTTAAGCTCTAAGTCCAAAGCCGCGACCGTTGTATCCTGAACTTTATAGGAGGACAGAGAGGAAGAACCTGTCACACGTTTCATTTCTTCATCCACCTTAGTCACTGTCTGGGCAAAGTCCAAGCCATGAATAGGATAGTCATCACGACGTACTCTAGGCGCTTTAATAGTTGGGTTGAGAGACATCCCCGCGAAATCTTCATCAAGGGTAGAGAGAATCTCTGACCGCCTCATGTGCTGGTAACATTAAGGAAGGTGAGTCCCAAATAGTAAGTGACTTTGCAACATCAGGGCCTGGTGAAGGGACTGAGGCTATTAAACGATCAGCAATCCAGTCAAACACGTGATCAAAGCCAAGGTGATTAGAGCCCGTGTCTTCCTCATAGTCTGGGGCAAAGTCTCTCTCAGAGGGCCCGGTGAGCGAAGCGGCAAGGGGAAAGGCTACGTGCAGGCGCCGCCTTAGCAGAAGACGCTTTACCTACGAGGTCTCGACCTATGTTCGCCTTCCCGGCGTGGGCGGATAGCGGAGGCGTTAGGCGTAGGCACAGGAGCAGACAAAGTTGACAGGATAGGCACCGATGCTGGAGGAGGCAGAGCGCCCGAAACGCGTCGAAGGTGGCAAAGGCTGGAGGCGATGTAGGGGAGAGCGCCCGATGTAGCTGGTGGCATAAACGGCATAGGCGGCTGATGTACCCGGCTTGACCTGATAGTAAAGTCAAAGAGAGTGCTGGCGTGGATACATCAAACTGCTGGTGGCCGTATGGCGTTTGCATCATAGACGCCTGAGGCATTGGAAACCCCGTATGTGGTTGATCGCATAAAGCGCCTGCCCGGGGAACACTGGCTGGGGTGTCTGACGCGCGCAAACTGCTGGCCCATCGGTCGTTGTGGAGATAACATCGGCAACAGCGGAGGAGGTGAGGAGTGCCAAAGCGCCCGAGCGCCAGAAGCGCCCGCCGATCCGTTACCGGCGAAGCTGCAAGCACCGAGGCGCGCGCGAAGCGCCAAACGCTGTAACACCGGTGACATAAGCGGCGAAGACATCATCTGAATGCTGGTGACAGGCTTACTTTCGTTGACACAGTCGGCGCTGCAACACTTGATGTAGGCGTAGTGGTGCGTCAAGACCGGCGTCGAAGTAGTAGACATACTCTTCCGTCTCTGTTGTCCCAGGCTTCTTAACAACCTGTAGATAAACAGAGAAACTCTTGGGTGATAGCACAGCGCAGCTGGCACATTTATGGCCAGGGGTACATTGAGTAGTACAATTCAAACATCGGGGATGAGGGTCTTTACTGAGACTTCCCACCCGACAATGTATACAACTGGGCTGTACATAGATCTGCAATGAAGCAGAAAACCAAGTAAAGCGCACATACAAAGTAATGAATATAACAGCAAAGTTGAGAACAAAAGTCTCAAAACAACTGAAAGTTTAAGAGACCATAATACAGGCACAATAAATATACCACTATTATATGGTATAGTATATAAGCCTGAACCAAATGAAACACAACGGCGTATCAATCACGGCAAAGTGTTTTAATGGCGAATGAAAGTGTGATGGCGGACCGTGTATAAACGAGCGACATCACTACACAGAACTACTGAATGACAAAAAGAAAGTGAAAGATAATACCTACACTTCTCGTAGAGGTACAAAAACAAAATACACACAAAGTCAGTCTTTATTAATGCTTCACAAAATATAATCCCGTAGGATTGTTGAGCTGGCAAACAACACGTCTAACGAGGCGTGCGAAAAGCAATAATCTGAGGTGGCTGACGTCACCTTCCGGTGACGCATGCGCAGACGGGTAAGCAGCCGAGACCAGGAAGTGATTGCAGTTCTACGTCTTTTTGACATCGTCTGGCAAGCCACGCTTTTCGAGCCGTAAGCAATAAGTGCAGGAAGTAAGTAGTGCAGGATTAGTTAAAAATTAACACTTTCAAGATTCATGATAATAGTTTTTACCTTCAAGTTTGATTAAGTCGGTGTAAAAGCTGTGTCTGCCATCTTTAAAGATTTTTATGAAATATATTTCAAAATCTGTATTCTGATTAAGAAATGGTAACGGTCAGGACTTTCCCTCACCCTATTAATTACTTATGTATCAATTGAAAGGCCAATTAGTAAATTTGAGCCTGCATGTTTGTATTTTTGAATACTTAAGTTTTTTAGATTTTATTTGAATAAAAATTAAATCAATTTTCAGGAGTTTGATTTTACTGTAATAAAGAATTGAAAATCTGACCATTTTGAAAATGACCCATATAGTAATGACTAATGTCTTTGCTTTGTAGAAGTAACTCTCTTTAGGATGACCACCCGACCAAGAAGGTAGTCGTCCTGAATTGAAAACATCCAAGCTTAACAACACCACCACCATGCCAGGACAAACTACACCATCATCCAGCCTGGACACCAACCTCTGTTTTCATCTGGCTGCTTGTTGCCAGCATCCATGTTTGCCACCTTCCTTCTGATGTCATTCCCAATCTCAGTGAGGTAGCCCATAACAGAGCCAGGCAAAGGGCAGTCTGGAACATGCACATCATATTTTAAACAGCCCAGAGGCTTTAGATGCATAGGAATAGTCAGAAGAAAGTTTTGAACACATAATATGACGGGGTAATCAAAGGGGATATCTTAGGTTTCTCTGTGAGAATCTGAGGATACTTGGAGAGGAAGATTCTTGGGTCACCTTGATGGGGGTTCAGTGGTATGAGTCAAATCTACGGGTACTTGAGAAGGTGGGGTGTGTTTGTGAAACATGGCTGGGAATATTAGGGTACATAGTAGGTTACTAGGAAGAGTCTAAGAGAGGGAATCTTGAGTCATCTGGAAAGGGAAACTCAGCATACTTGAAAGGATTGTTGGGTACCTCAAGGGGAATCTATCAAAGTAACTTGGGAAACTTTGAAAGGGTATCCAGGGGTACCTTGGTGGGGATCTTGGGTACTTTAAAAAGCTTAAAAGGGTGACTTTCAAGGCTGGAAGGGAGTATGGCTTTACACCAATTTAGCAATATTCAAGCAATGTGGCTACACCATAAATGGGCTTCACATATACATGTGGGGCATTGAACCTTGGCCGTCAGTGAGAAATGCAATTGCTTTAACTGCAAGGCCATCTCACTGCCCCAACATCGAAGGATCCAGTGATGCTTTGGGGTGAATCTAGATGTACCTTGAGGTGGGTCCAGAGACACCTGTCTGCCTGTTGTACTGTCGGGGAAGCCTGCTTCAGCCCACTGCAGCATCTGGTGGTCATTGTTGTTGTTAACATGTGGACCTCCGCGGCGACAACATTCCTATAAAGTAGATACTGTACATTTCAAGTGTCATTCCAAAACTTTTGAAGAGTCATATGACATACTTGCTACGAAAAGGGCCTTTCCACCATCAAAAACACTGTCTACACTGTCAAGAACAAAAACCTCACAGACAAGGCTCTAAGCACAGCTAATACTTGAGAAGGAAATAAAACAAACCACAAAGACATCTACTGCTAATACTTCATGAACATCTAGTTAACTTTTAAAAGTGAACAAAATATTTTTGAAATACAAATTCATTGAGAGTGAGTGAGTGAGTGAGTGAGTGAGTGAGTGAGTGAGTGAGTGAGTGAGTTTAGTTTTACGCTGCACTCAGCAATATTCCAGCCATCTGCTGGCAGTCTGTAAATACTCGAGTCTGGGCCAGACATTCCAGTGATCAACAGCATAAGCAATGATCTACGCAATTGGGAACTGATGACATGTGTCAACCAAGCCAGCGAGCCTAACTACCCGATCCCGTCAGTTGCCTCTTACGACAAGCATGGGTTACTGAAGATTCAGTCTAACCCGGACCTTCACGTGTCAAATTCATTGAGAGATCAAATTACGGACTTTTCAAACAATAAACAACATTCCATGTGAGGCCCCTCATTCTGTACTCTTTACTCATGATTTTGTGAAGAGAGTTTACTCACAGTGACTTTAGTCACAAAAACTGCAGAAACTTACTGTTAGTGCCTCTAGAACAGCCTTGCGATACATCTTGCTCTTGAAGTTGCCCACTTTGGCCTTGTAGTTCTCAGAGAAAGATATGATCTTGTCATGAGACACCTGCAACATACCACAATTTTATAATATTTACTTGTGAATAGTCTGATTTATACAAACACATCACTGTGGGAAACACACAGAAGGAATGAGTGTTGTGTTGCGAGAGTGTTTTTTGTAATTTGTATTATCATTGCTTAAGTGATAGTTGTTATTGGGTCACAATGTTTAGAGTTTTGAGTTTGGGTTGTGGGTCACATCTTGCATCATGTATGTTCAATGGCAATACTATTTTTAGCGGTACGCCTTTATGATAGCGCTCCAGAGTTGCACCCCTTGGCTTTATTTCTGTTTTGACTACCGGTCGTATGTTCAATATGAATGTTCTCAGTGGATAAAGAATGTTCTAGACTCTGTGTCAGTATATATAAAGGCTGGTTGTAGTGTTGACACACACGGAATTACACATGGACTTATCATATCACTGTTGTGTACATCTTTCTGCCGTCACCTGCCTATCGTCGTCTGTCTGTCTACATCGTCAAGACCAATTGTCTACTGACATTGTAAAACTATCTTTAGTTAGAATATCTGCTCTCATTGTAAATGCAAGACTCTGATGAGTTAATATTTCATATTTGTGACCCATTACTTTAGATTTGTGACTCAATTGCATTGTACTAAATATCTGTATTGTCATTCATTGTAGCTTGCTCATTGTTTGCTCAATATATTATTGCATATTTTAGACTTGTCTGTGTTATATTTTGCTGGTTCAAAGGGGACTTTTAAATCTTTTGTCACGGCAATTATTAACCGTAACAGTTGTCATAAAACTGGTCATGAAATATCCCCACTTGAATTGTTATCACAATTTGTGAACATTTCGACACTATTTTTTATCTTCTTCCAAGAAATACACCAAAATCAACTATTTAGCCCTTTGCCATACAATGGGGCATATATTTACAAATGAAATAGTTTGAGTGGGAACTGTTTGAGAATTTGTCTTAAAATGGCCTTGCTATGTTAATTGTGAAAACAGTTACCAGGTACATACATACACACAAGGCAGCAATAGCATTCCCTTGGAAGCCTGACAAGCATCAGAGGCTGAGTGGACTTTGTATGCTTGCAATGTTGGGCCTCATCTAAAGAGTGTGGGCTTAAAATGCTGATTCTGCCCTAAAGTACTAGAAGCTGTGCATAACTCTAAAAGTGTAATCCTAAATCCTTTTGTTACATTTGATCAATTTCTAAAAGGCATCAAATATTCACAGGCTGGACCAGTCAAAGTGATTGAAAATATGGGCAGCAAACAATTTCATCAGTCCACAATGACACAAACCTGCCAAATTTGACAACCCAATCCAAGTCAGTTGTCTCTTTGACGACGAAGGAAAGCTGAGTGTCTTTTCAGACACGTGTCCAGACAGGAGAATAACATGGCTACCTACCTGAGACACTTTGTGATCACCAAACCAGTACACCCACGATGAAGCAGACTTCTGAGACTGGAGGTAAATAAGGGTTCCCTTGACAACGGTTCCAGGCCACCATCGCTCACCACACAACCGAGCCCACACCAGCTTGCCATAGTTAGGCTCCTAGGTAATAATAATAATAATAAATGCATATTTATAATGCGCCTATTCCACACCCTAAGGCATGCTCAAAGCGCTACAGAATATTTACACTGGAGTATTTACAGTTGAAATTATAAGTAGTATGCTGAAAAAAGTCCGGACTTATAAATGTCAATTGTGTCAGAGCTTTGAATGGCACAAGGGATAGAGTTCCAAAACACAGGTGCAGAGTACGAAAATGAGCGGTATTCAAAGGATTTCAGTTTGTAGGGTGGGATGACCAGTACATTTTGTGTGTTTGAGCGCAAGTTGCATGCAGGAACATATGGATGTAGGAGCTGAGGGCACTTGTATGTCAGATATAGAATCTTAAAGTCGATTCTGGCCCTAACTGGTAGCCAATAGTGCTTTCAACACAAGTGTAATATGGGAACGTTTAGTAGTGACACTGATGATGCAGGCGGAAGTGTTTGGGATCTTTTGAAACTTATCAAGGTTAGAGCTGAGATCTGAAAGGATGCTGTTACAGTAGTCAAGCCTCGATGTAACAAGAGCACGAACAAGGGCGTGAGTTGCAGCAGTAGTCAGGTATTGCGAATGTTACCAATGGATCTCAGATGGAAGTAGCAAGTCCTGCTAAAGCGGTTAACATGAGCATTCAGAGTCAAGGATGTGGACACCCAAAATCTTTAACGTCAGAGACATTTATGTCTCGTCTGCAACTGAAAGGAAGTCAGTTTTGACCTTGTCATGTTGTTGCTTTGTACCAATGGGAACTGCTTCTGTTTGTGTCATAAAGCATATTTGCTGTCATCCATACATTCGGTGATGCACAGAAGAGACATGGAGAGATCTGACAGATGAAATGCTTTCAGGAGCTGGACGTCATGAGCATAGGCATGTCGAGAAACTGTGTGGTCTGTAGTAATCCTTCCGACATATCTAATATACAACACAAACAGGACCGGACCAAGGACTGATCCCTGTGGCACACCACATGGGATTACAGTGCCTTTCTATCTCTCACTACCAACGACAACAGATTGCATTCAAGTCCGTACTGTTGTTTGAGCCTGGACAAGAGTCTATGGTGGTCGATTGTGCTGAAGGCCACAGAGAGATCCAACAACACGAGAGCAGCAATCTTACCAGAAACATACTCAAAACTCATCTCAACACTGGATGTGTAGAATACCTGTTTCTGCGTCTGGTCTTGACGATCACTTACTGTACATATCAGTATTTCAACCTGGATGAGTCGAAGGCTGCTTCAAGTTCATAATAACTAAAACATATAGTCAAATAAACCTTTGGTAAACTTAGCACAAGTTGGAACTTCCCTCAAGAAAATCTCTGAAACACCTAAGATAAGAAACACCTCATTTACCTGTTTCAGTTCTGATCATATCAGTGGTATTCACACAACATCTACAATGAGGTATGTTTGGGTTCTGTTGTATGAGTCAGTCTGTTATAACATACAGATAAATGATTTTAATCTAACACTGATAATAGTGATAACAGATAAATGATTTTGGCACCTATAATCTAAGCTAACTATTATGACAAACAACATCTTGCAATAGAAAAGTATGGAATGAGAGTGATGGCTTTGATCTAGCTACTGAAATAAGAACACACATATGACAAAAGGGTGGTAAGAGTTGGTTTTCAATCATATTCTACTTCTGGTGATTCAATAAATACTAAAGGTTGCATCATAGAATAAATACTGTAAATCAATAAAATAATGTGAGATACTTATTAATGCGAAAAATGCGTCTATATCTGAAGTGCATTAATAAATTTCGTGATTATTATATTATCTTTTTGCTTCTATATCGTCATTACTAGTATTTGGGTCATGATAATCCAGTGAACAAATCACGACGATTGATTCACAAAAATTCCTTTATTGACACAAAAACATTGACATTATATTATATCAACAAGTAAAATACATTCCAGGAAGAAAGATTGAGCACTAATCATTTAAAAGTTGAATTACTGAACAGAATAAACAGTCTTTGAATTACTAGTTTACATTGTACTTCAAGTCTAGCCATCCACGTATGCGATTCGCCACGATTTCTGCTTACCTTTTCAATTGCTCTCATGCATCCAGTGAGCATGAACATGTTTTCATGATGCTAATCCTCAAATAAACACGCTTTGTTATCGTCTCTTTGTCTTGGAGATTAGCTGCCACTTTGTCGGCGCATACCAGTGAATTGTTCCTTCATTATCCCTTTCACTTACTCCGTTCACTGATATAAGGTCCATCGGCTGTAACTTCACCAGTGCACCCAGCGGAACAAAGTGAACTTCAAAATGTTTCTTTTAAAGTTTGAAGAAACGATTCCCAACGATGTGCGGCAAAAACATCGAAAATCAAGAGCGATTTCTGTTTCAATGGCAAGTTCAATTCCTTTTTCATGTTCTTTTTATAGGGCACCAACACATTTTCAATGTATTCCAGCATAAAGTATCCTCCTCCTACTTTGCTATTTTTGCTCTGGTTTCTGGAGAATAATGGTTGTTGTTTCGCTTCCTTTGACTCCATCGTCTGGAGACTACATGATCTTCTGAAGCGGTTGAGGTTATAATAGCATTATTTGCAGCCTCCATATCAGCAGTCGCTTTTCCGGTATCCGCGGTAGCGCGGATCGAGGAAGACCGACAGGTCGGCGGCTTAGTGACAGTTACGTACTTCAGCATCATTGTTATGTGAAGTATGATGCATGATACATCTTCCAAACGCTTTTGTATGCTATTACTATTAACTATTTGAATTTGAAATGTCACAAACTGAGATCATCCTCTCTACTGTCAATTACTAGTACTAACAGTTGAATAAAGCCGTCTTTGATCCAAACACCCATGTGTTCAGGGGGATTAAGATGTTTACACTAGAGTCAGATTAATTACTAGTATATTTCCACAATTGGTGAGTGTAGTGATTCTGTTCAACCATGTCCTGATTTGCCTCCTCGCATTAATAAATGCACGCATTTTCGTTTTGAGGTTTGCACTCGCATTATTCAATACGTGCCTTAGTTTCTTTATTTTCAGTAATAGACATATGTCCTTATTTTAATGAAAGATTCAGATTTCTGTGGCTGAACTATGTTCCTCTGAACTCTAGTTGTGCGCACATTTGGTTTTCATTAGTTTCTTATTGCACACCATACTCTGCAATATTGTAGCTAGATGACGTCAATCTGTAAATATTCAAATACCAGACAATCCAAGGATGGACATATTGAGCATCAATCAAAGCATCTGGAACAGATAGATGACACTTATCAAGCCTAGTCAGTCAGCCTGATCAATGTTCACCTTTTTTATGATAAATCATTGGGTGCTGAGGACCAGTTCTAACCCAGTCTCACAAGGGGAGAGGCACAACAAACACTTTTACAACTTCAACAACTTGTGCCAGCTCCTCCTTAGTCTCCAGCACCACTGCCTCTGGACCCTTGTTCTTAGGACTGTCATTGCACTTCTTACTGGGCAGAGTCCTGGCTGCTGCCTTTACGTGTTGCTATGGCGTTTTTGGGGAGTTGGTTCTTTGGGTACTGCCTCCTTCCCATCTTTTGTTTTAGCCTAGAATAATGAAGAGTTATGTTATACACCAACACATCACCTGCAAGGACTTATCCAGGATTTCAAAGCATTCATACCAGTAGACTGTGTACTTTTGGAAAACATTCCCACCTTGATCAAAACTGGTCAGTGAAATATAAGTCACATTTACACTTCATTATTCATTACAAATATGAATATTAGAAGTTTGACTTCTGCATTATTTTGCTGTATGGATATAACATTAAAAGCATATTGTCTGGTGTGCATACAATGTTTCAATAGAAAATCATGAACATAAGAAGTCCTGAAACATGGCCTCATCTCAACCAATGGTTAAATTTTTGCCTTGGAAACCAATAAGAATTACTTTAAAATCCTGACAATTGTTTTAGCACAGTACGGTAAAAGTGGCACAAGAGGCTACCTCTTTATATGGGTGTGTTCAGGCTGCATGTGTGTGTTGAAATAGTAACTGGTTTCAGAAACTGTTATAGTCACACTGTCCATAACACTAACCATTAACCTATTGATTTGCTCAAACCACAGACCTACTTAATACACAAGGAATCTGTTACTTACTCTGATGGTGTTTTATTTTTGGATGCGGACAAGTCATCAGTTCTCTTGTCCTGATTGGCTTTCTGGGACTTCCACTTTAAGCCTGTACTTCCTCTACTGCATTCACGCGAACATTGAATAAGTCAAGTCTCAAACTGGAGTTACCTTGACCCCTTCTTCACTGCGACCTGGGTTGAGACACCATCACTGCAGTCTTCACTGTGACCTTTTCACAACACGGAAACTAACCCATCTGGAACCTAGGAATATAAGTTTCATTGACCACTCATGAGTCTTTGCAGGGGTGCTGTGATGCATCACCGGGGCTGTCCTCCACACTGTAAATCTATCTGTCATTTACCGTTATTTATTTACCTTTAGTTATCTCTACCATGGATACTGAAACGCTGACAATTTGATTGAAAAGCTGGAACAATACACCCTTGCAGCCGAAAATATAAGCAGTTAATGCTCTTTTGTTTTGTCATCATGTCCTGAAGAGTGAGTGAGTGAGAGTGAGGGAAATCCAAAAGTGCTAGTAAGGATGGGAGGAAGTTATTTCATGAGTCAGGATAAGTATAAAACATCAATTTTATTCAGAAAATTACATTTTCCCCTTATCCGACTCATGCTCTTTTGGTTTGTGTGAACTGCAGAAAACGGAGGAGGGAAACAGAATACTTTGGATATTAGTATTAGTGATTTACATATGTAATAACCCCTACAGGAACTTCATAATGGCATCCGTAATTAATATAATTCCTGCTGCTATAATAATATAAGTTCTAACAGGCCGCCATATAGATGGGGTAATTACAACATTTAGGATATTATGATAATAATAATAATAATAATAATAAGGCAATCTAAAAGTGGGAGAAGCCAATCTAAAATGCGCGTTGAGGAGGAGTGAGCTGTCTTTACGCTTTTAGCAATATTCCAGCAATATCAATGCATGGGGACACCAGAAATGGCTATAATACATTGTAACCCATGGGGAATCAACCGTCTTCGAAATGCATAAGTACTTAGTTTAAGATCTAGTCGAAAGCGAGCAACTTCCGTGTAGAGCTCAAGCAGGAGTGTAAAGCCAGTGCTCTAATTTCATGGGATTAGATGCTCTTGGAGGGTCGAACTGGGCATAATGATAGGTCAAGCGTATCATGAGGTCCGAGGATCGAGGAAAGTGCAGGGACGTGGAATAATCTGTCTGGTTGACCTGGCAATTGATTCTTGGCGATAAAGTCCCATCTCAGTCCCATATGCACTGTGTTTTGATTGTCATCAAAACGTGATCTCTCGTAATCTAGAGCGTGGATTTCTGACATCCTGGCTGCCGTTGCTAGGGATAGCAGGAACAGTGTTTTCTGCGTCAGAAATTCGAACGATGTTGATTCCAGTGGTTCATAAGCCTCACATGTGAGGTGTTGGAACACTATATTTAGATCCCATACTGGAGCGTGAAACCTCTATTTCTGATCCTCCAATCAGAATGAACGAAGCAAGGCCAGTAACTCTGGCGTTTTCATTAGCTTGGCACCCGTTCTCATAGTTATCACTGAACTTAGTGCTGCGAGATATGTTGACAGTGTCGAGCCTTTTAGACGTTTAATTTGTCGTAGGTGACAAAGGTAGTCTGCCACTTGAGGATGTGTAGCATTTCTAGCTGTAAATCCCTTTTTTAGCAGCGTATATCTCAAAACTGTGTCACTTGTCATAATACAAGTTGCGTGTAGCATTGCGTAAAGCAAGCGTGACTGCTTAAAGCTCTGGCTGAGTAACCTCTGTTGTTTAACAGTAAAAACAGTCCATACGTAAAGTTGGAATGCTTCTGGGTTTTCGTGCGCTTATTTTGTGTGAGGATGTACTAGTAGATTCGTACACTCTGGTAGTTGCAGTAGAAGCAGTCCCTGGGTATGAGAATATGAATTCCTATTCTCGCTGGCCAAAAGGCGTGCCCCAAATAGTTGTGGGTCTCTCGCCTGACTGATTTCTGCAATACCCTAGGTATTAGAGCTGGTGGAAAACACGTAAGAGTTTTAGACCTAGGCAGGAGATGCTTCGCATGTCCGTTGCCCCTGTGTTATTAGTTGAACCTTGTGGGGAAGAGAACTCTTCAAGGTTCAACCCTCTCTTATATGATCTGTTTGAAGATCTTTCAAATATAGCATCCAGTCTGTTGAGAATGGCTGCGTTGAACACGATAGTGTACTGCTAACACATTCTTTGTTCTTGGAATGTGGTGTTTACTGCTATGGACAGTCAGTTTGACTGTTATGCTGATCAACTGAAAGCAGAGGTCCAGAAGGTTCGCCAACTTTTGTTGATCCTTCTGTGAATGTAGACAGTCCCTGCGGAGGTGACTGTGTGTACCGTTAGATGAGCATTTATAAAAAGCTGATCCGGTGAAGTATGGCGTTTATTGCTGCTTTCATTTCCAGCCTGTGGAAGTGCAGATCGTGTCTGCTATGGTCCATATCACAGCTGACATATTGTTGTCAAGATGTGGTCCCACTCTATGAGAGATGCGTCTCCATAGAGATGCGTCTTGTACTGTGACTCCGCTAATTAGGTGCGTCTGCAACCGTCCTTGCACGGAGTTCACCATATATAGATATGGGTTATAACCTGTCCGTATCGTCCGGTTGTACATTCATGAAGACCAGTAGTGGGCGTAATTATAATTCTCTTTGCATTCCATGTCTTGTGCTGAAGAGCGAAACCCCAACAGATTCCACCACTTCGTAGTAAAAACGGAGAGAGTAGTGCTTGAGATACAAGAACTTGTATCTATATCCTACGAACTTGACACCCTTCCCGTGTCTGTAAGGAAATGAAGCGATGGCCGACTCTGTGACTGCCATCGTTGAAACTTTATGTAAAAATCGCCTGACTGCCGTGCCCTCGTCCTTAATTGACAGGGGAGGTCTCTAACCCCATGAAGGCAGCCAAATCATGAAGGTCCAGTTTAACTGGACTGTAATGGAGGCGTTGCTCGCTCACTGACATGTTGTTGTCACTTGCAACCCATGTCTTGAACTGTGAACTATGACCGACCTCTGCGTAGGGCGTTGCCCCTCGCGGTCCAATCAGAACAAGGCATTTTGATTCTGTAGTGTAGCCGCGCTGTGATGTCACCGGTGTAGCAGGAAAAGGAACCTTGTATAATCTAGTGCCGTCGTTGATATTTAATCAATCGTCGGTCTTGTCCGTAACTTTCGAAGTTACACGAGTGACCACGTGTGTCGAGGGTTAATGGTAAACGCGCGAATATTTCGCCGCGAAATACCTCGCCCTGTAATATCAATGCTGGGTAGGTTATTTTCCTGGCTGCTGTGAATGTAACTTCAGTCTTGAAGATAATGCCGTCGTCCTTATATATAGGCTCAATAAAACTTGTACGTTGTCAGCTTGTAGACTGCATACATCAATGCAGCGTCATAATTGTAGAATTAATGCTGAACTTGTTGTACATTTTTTCTCTCAGGAAATCGTTGACGATTATGTGTTTTACTCGCTGTAGCAAGGCTGCTGCTCAATTTCGTTATTGAAATTGTCTGCAGATCTGTCCGAAGGTGAAGATCTCTATGATGTCATAAATCTACTAATGTAGATATATCAATCTATGTGAATCCCATCCTGGATTCCGACTGATGGTCCATGCTAGTGATGAATTGTGACACCAAGTATCTCTCTTGTAGTGTATTATCTATCTTCCGTCTGTGTACCGAAGAAGATATTTCCATTCTAGGATGATGCTATATCATGTCCTAGTTGTATAATCTTGACGATCTGCGTAGTGATCTGCGTAGTGGTCAACTTGGTGTGACTGTATGGCGCCTTGCATGTAGATAATCGTTTCGTAGTCCGGGATTGCCTACCTGGCAATATATACGGAAATGGTGATTCCTGTGATGATCTGCGAAGCGTCGTTGATGCCCTTGATGTAGGCAGTCGGCCTGAAGATCCTTATTTAGGCTCTTCATCTGTAAATAGTACTTCGCGTAACTTATATAACGTTCTGTTAAAAAGTTAAGTACTGCGACATCTCTGTCTTGTGGATGTCTGTGCGAATGCCTTCGCGCAGGCTCGGTAATGACATATAGCGTTCTGTTGATAATATAAATACTGCAACGTTTCTGCGTTGTATATGGCCTGTGCGAATGCCTTCTGCGTAGGCTTGTAGACGGCATGTGGCGTACAGTTGATAGACAAGTACTGCGATGTCTCTGCTTCGCTGGATACCTGTGTGTAAATCGGCGAGGGGATCGACGTGGTGAATAGCCCGACGAACTGTGCTTGTAGGGTGACCTGTAGCTTCGCGAAGGTCCTAATGAATCCCTCGACGAACTATAGGACGAAGATGTCTTGTAAACTGTAGCTGACGTCCTTCGCGAAGGGCTTCGCGAAAGGCTCATCTGAGTCCGTACTTGGGGAGTGGTGACTGGTTCTACGCGAACGCCCTGTACGCCAACGATTCTGTATCCGGGGATGGACGATTTTGTCGCCTGATTCTGTATCCGGGGATGGAAGAATTCTCCTTCGCGAATGTCTTCGCGAATGAGCTTTGCACTGAATCCGTATCTGTGAGTAGATCTACGATGTGAATGACAAAGAGATCAACGTGGAGACCGGCGAGGAGATCGACGTGGAGAATGGCGATGATCGCGAGATCTATGTGATGAACGTTGATAGCATGACAAGCTCGGTGAATCCCTCGATGACCTTCTAGACGAAGATGACTTGGAGTCTGTAACTGGTGCCCTTCGCGAAGCTTCATCTGAGTCCGGTCCTGGGAAGTGGCGACTTGACCTTCGCGAAGCTTCATCTGAGCTTCCGAGTCCGGTGAATGGCGATTTGACGATGACCTGGGTCCAGGGATGAAAGGATCTTCTGCGAACCTCTTCGTGAGCGTTGATCATCGGCGTCCAAGGTAGGTGGTGATCTAGTTGTCCTTCGCGAAGGCCTTCGCGAATGCTGAACATCTGGGTCCTTCGTGGAGGTGGGCTGTGACGACCTTCGCGAAGGTGGCTTCCTCGACGATGGCTTCGTAGCAGTCGCTTCGCTGACTGGGGGGTCCCTCTGATGTGACGTCTACGTTGGAGCCTTCGCGAAGGCTCGAGGCTGGTTGCCTCTCCAGACCGTAGCGGTCTTACATCATCTTCATAATCTGACGCATCAGGTCGTCTGGGACGATCTGCGATGAAGTAGTTGCTGCCCTATCTGCGTTGGTAGCGACGGGACCCTCAGGAAGATCATCGGACATCAGCGTTGGTACATCAGGCTGCATGTTGATCTGCGCTGACATCACTGTTGCCGACATCGGTCATTCTTTTGATGTACATCAGGTATGATGATCGGCTGATCATCATACAGGCCCAAATCTGCGACGGGAACAATCTCGGCTGAGAAAGTCCTAGTAGACTTCGTTGATTTCCCCTCAGAGGTCGACGCTGCCCTGGGGGTGCGAAGTCTGCATTGAGATGAAGTAGAAGCCCTCTAGTCTTCGGCTGCGACGACGGGATGTCTGGGGAAGCAGGACGCTTCTTGGAGACGACGGACTACGTCCCACGCCTCTCCACCACTCTAGCGGAACACCAGACGGGAGGGGGTCGACCAACAGCAGTAGACTGGCGAGGGGTTCAGGTGTATCAGTCATGGCTAGACTCTGCTTACGTGACCTATCTGCTGCGCGTCTCAAACGCAAAGTAAATATTTATTAAAGGCAGAATTGGATAAATTAGTACAGCAACTGCAACGTGAAGAAAATGAACATGGCGCGCAGTACAGCTAGGGCATATTAAATGCGGATCAGCAGCAGAAAAAACGTAACCTGCAAACAGTACAGATTTTCATCAACGTAATCCACTGAACAATCACGGCGTCCCGTGAATAAACAGTAGAAACACGAATAAATATCAATACATAATGTTGAAAGGATACTAGCTAAACCTCTATAGATGCCTATAAGAGATCACTAACTCAAAATAATCAAAGGATATAAAGTGTAGGGAGACACAGGCGCTCTCACATCCTGCTCACTGGGCGAAAAAGGAGAGAGTGAAGCATGTGGGCAGAGGTGGTGCCTCCGTTCCCGCGCATTTTGGGAGAGGGAGGCAACTCGTGGTGGGTACTAATTAGTGATTTTACATTGAAGGGAGCTTCAATTAGGGAGATACAAGTGTTCCACTATGTTCGCAAGAAGAAGAAGACAAGCAAAAAGAGCATGAGTCAAGATAAGGAAAATTAAAAGCCAGTCCCTTGTAGAAATGTCGTGATTCAAGCGTAAAATGTGGTAGCCGCAATGTGGTACGCTTATTGTAGCGCGAAGAATTACCGGACACGCGGAATTACCGGACTCGCTTGTATATATGAGGTCGGCCAATCTATCATCATATACGGCACTACATTGCAGTATATAGCATACCATGTGGCAAAAGCACAAGGATTTTATCAGTATTTGTGAGTGCTGTTTGCCAATTTGCTGAAACATTGCTAACGGCACTCCTGTACCTTGTCTACAGGTGATTTTTCGTGGTGAAAATCTCTGCTTCCGCTGGCTTCTCTGAATTTTTATCTTTGGCTTGCCCATGTTTCAGTGGTATCTACAACATACAAACCTGGTCAATTAAAACTCAGATAATTGGCACACACACAAAATCATGCCATGTACTGGAGTTCAAGCAGCACATAAAAATACAACGGAAGAGAAACATGCAGATAAAGGGACTGATGATGGTGTTCATTCAGGGTCGCTTTATACACGGATTATACAAAATGGCATCGATTTTGAAGGTCCATAGAAGGCGGCAGCCTCATATGTGGGATTGCTAAATATGATATATGTGTACACCGTGATACATGGTATGCAGTATAAGTTCAGAAGCTCACCTCCAAAAGATGACCAACACAATAGAGGGTTTTTTTTACTAGTGTATGCCTGATATGCAGAAAGGTTTTTGTGAGGAATATAAAACAGTTTAAGAGTAAGGTTCTGCTAAACTTAGCTTGGGTCAGGGTTCCAGTAAATGTTGGAAAAGTAAAAAGCAAAATTGGCAACTACAAATGGACGATGTGTATAAAGTTTGATAAACACAGACACAACGATTTTTTCACACTCATTGTGATAAAGCTCTTTGTCTCACTAATTCAAATTGTTTTCCTTCTAAGGATCATAGGTTCTTTTCCAGTGCCAAGCAGGAATAGTAAAGTTTCCTCTATTACTTTGTCTGTAGCTCAGTGGGATAATCTGCACATAAAAATGGTAAACAGATAACGTACAATTTGCAAATGCATACGGGTGCCTAATATTGAAAAGTATCCTCAGTATTAGGGCTGGATATTGCCCTGATTTCATATTGCGATATATTGCAATAACTTTAGAGATATTGCAATACATATTGTGATATATTGACTAGAAGGTTTCTGCCCAAGTACATCATAAATTCATAATAGCTCTCTGTGTGCGACATCATCTTCTTAGTTGCTGTTACACCATACTTTCAGGCTCCCCGTCCCCATTGTGTACATCCATACAATTTTCAGGTTTTTATTACCTGAGTAAACAATATCCCCATTGTGTATTGTTGTATGTCAATAAAACCGATATTGACCTTTACAGATAAATAAAATGATATGAGAAAGTCTTAACGTGGAATGTTTAATTGAAGTACTGCAACAGAGTTTTGATTGAACATAATGATAAAGGTAATTGTATAACATGATTTTCATGGTCATAATGATAAAGGTAATCCTACAACATGGTTTTCATGGTCAGTTTTGTTTGTTTCAACAGAATGCACTTCAATGCAGTATGTAATTATTGTTACTGTCTGTCAGTGATTCATTCAGATTCAACTCCAAT